GGGGGGGGAGAAAGGGGGGGGGGGGGGAGGCAAAAAAGCCAGTTACCCCAAATCCTAACTTGACTGCCAGTTCCACATAGAGCTGAAAGCACAAGTGAATGCTCTTTGGACAACCCCAGATTTTGACCTGGGTTTGGATCAGAACCGCACAAGCGGTGGCATGGCTCGCGCTGGAAACCGTCTCGTTTGCGTCTCACCCGGCCTCCGGGTGCAGTTTGGAGCAGGCTCATCAGCAAGCTTTGGAAAGAGAGGAGCTTGCACGAACCAAGCCCCAAGGCCGAGGCTGGCACCTGGCACGTGCAACCTCTGGAGCACTGAGAGCAGAAGCAGCCAGACTGTGGAGAGAGGCATGCATTCCTCCTCGTTACTCCCACATGGCTGGCAGGAGCCCAGGACTGGTGTTATTTGACGTGCCACACGCTGGATGGATGGGTAAAAGGCCTCTCTCCCTGCACCAGAAGGCTTAATCGATCTAAATAAAACAGGGACATTTCCAATGGCCCCAAGAGGTAAAAAGGAATTACCCAATGAAAAGCAAATACAAATCCAGAAGACAAGGTGTTAGGGCTTACTGGGGACTTAGTTATGAAGTTTCAAAAGCCTCAAGAACAGGGTGATAGCCCTACTAAGGCAACTGATACCTTTGGACGTGGCCTGGGATGGGATGGTGACAAAATGGTGCTGTTACCAGACCGATGCTAATGAAGTAGGGATTGAAAGTTGAGAGTGCCTGGGGGGAACTAATGGTCTCTGGACAGTGTAGACTGATGCTGTAGGAAGAATAGTGCTGAGACTTTTAGTAGCACCCAAAAAATGCTCAGCACCTACTGAGGGGGGGCAGTACAGGAAAGCAAGGGAGAAACTCCCGTAAGTTTGAACATGAACACTGTAGACGTGGGTGGACACCTTGCTTGAGGGAGGGGGAAGGGAGCCCTTTGCAAGAGGGCCTGCTTTCCACGGCAGAAGTTGTATATTCCCATTTTTGCACCTTCAGGCATGGAAGTGGAGGGAGATCAGAGAGAGGTGCCCCTACAATGCTGTGACCTGCTCCTGCGATTCATTTGGCAGGTACAAAGATGTAGGCATCTGTTTTGTGGGTTCAAATTGCATCCATTGAAATGGAGGCCAGGCCTCAGACCTTTGGACTACGGACACCAGCACGTTGGTTCCCTGAGGCCCACCGCAGCAGGAAAGAGTATTCCTTAGGCATTTCCATCACATTCCCATCATTGCCATCAGTCTAAAAAGCACAGCATTTCATGCAGAGCCAACCACAGCTTTTCCCTGAAATCCGTATTCCTATGTAGCTCATTCCCACATACATACACCTCTTGTAGACACAGGTAACAGGAGTAATTCATGCGTGCCATACCAGAGGAATAGTGCACTAAATGAATAGCAGCATCAAAGACACGTGGTATATTAGTGTTACCTACAAAAGCCACCGGGTTTTTAATGCACCTTACCGCCTGATGCAACGGATAACTGCTCGTGTGTTTTCTTCCAAAAATGATGTCTCTTTAAACCCTACAGCCACTTAGGAATGCAGATACAGACATAATGGTATGATTTCTATTCAGCCCAGACTGCATGCAGTAGCAGGCAAAATCAAGAGTCTGATATGAGAGTCTGGAAGAAGCACATTCATATGTTAAAAATGAACGGATGGTTCCCTCTGGTAGGAGGGAGACCTGCAAGTGATGCTAGATGAGACCTAAAACATGAGCTCTGGTAGTATTGTATCAAAACCGTGTATTTTCCTCTCCCTCTAGACAATAATATAAGGCAAGCAATATTGTGCCAACAGAGCATCAACACTAAAGAAGATACCCATGTATTTATTTTAAGTATTAAAAAAGCCTCGCCAACCCCCCCGCAACCTGATGCTTCAAATATTCATGTTCAAGTTGTGACGTGAAGTGGAGAAGTCACGGAGGCTGCAAGGCAAGGCAAGAGTTCCCTTTTCACGCCAGTGCGTAACAAAACCACCCCGTGATCACGTGAAAAGCTGCAGGGGCCTGGCTTCCTTCTGAACTCCCCATGCAGCATCGCTTTTGTGTCACCACTTTCACGTTACTTACAAGCAAGGGCATTTTGTATCCTGATTTCCTTGTTTGGGTTTTGCTAAAGGAGATCCATCAAATGGAAAATACTGACCCAAGAGAGGAGGCAAAATAAAAATTGTGGAATATGGTTACATGCATATGGTTGCCATTCAACTTGGGCTTCAATGGACCATCGCTGGCACAGCCCACATGCCAAGGCCCTTAGCAGGGGAAAAGGCAACAACCACAGGGAAGATCTGGGGCTTTGTTCCCAACTGGGAGGCTCTGGATGGAGGGGGCACTTTCTGGGGAGATGCCTACATCCAGCGTTTGCCCTGGGGACTCCTCCCGAGGGGTGCAAGAAACCTGGGGAATGAACAGGACGCTTCATTAAATATATGAGGACACTTCCATCAGGGAAGGCCCAGTTGCAAGCTAAATATGTCTTTGCCTTTAAAGATCACTTGCTTTTCCCCCAGGCTGAATTCCTAGTCTGCAAGGTGTGTGTGTGTGTGTGTGTGTGTGTGTGTGTGTATAAATATACACGTGTATATATGTGTGTGTATGTATGTGTGTATGTATACATGTATATGTATATATATGTGTATATATATGTGTGTGTATGTATATATATGTGTATATACGTGTGTATGTATATACGTGTGTGTGTGTGGATATGTGTGTGTGTGTGTGTATGTGTGTATATACGTGTGTGTGTGTGTATATACATATATATACACATATATATACATATGTGTATATACATGCACACACATATATATATATAAATAAAAGGTATCTATCTAGCTATCTATATATGTCTATATATAGATATATAGATATATCTATATATAGACATAGATAGATATATCTATATATCTATATATAGACATATATAGATAGCTAGATAGATAGATATAGATATAAAAACTATGGCTCTGTGTACATTAGATAGTCCTGCACATACCTTTGCACGCCCAGCTGCAGCAGTCCTTGAGAACAGCCCCACTGTCTTCAGTGCAATAACCCTCGCTGTCTGTGTTTTTGAACTGAGCAATAGCAAAGACTGGACTGAAGCCCTTTTCTGGAAGGAAACAGAGATATTCTACTGCTCTAATTTTGTTTCAAGGTGCCTGACGTTTGGTGCAGCCCAAAGACAAAAATCTCCCCTCACCCCTCAAGAAATACCGGGAGGCACCATGGATGAAAATCATGATTTATAGGGTTGGCATTAGTTGTACTTAGAAAGGGGTGACCTTCTTCACAGATGAACATTACCGTCCTACTTGACTGTTCATATAATTATTCTCCCAAGCTGCACCCGATGGCCCATTTCCATTGCTAGATCTGGTCCCTTGTCATCTTAGCTAGTGGAAATTAAGTCCTATTTCTTCTGGATCAAGTGTTGAAGCCCCACTGGTAGCACACTGGCAATTGTTGGCACTGCTGAACAGCACACACTCTTCTTGATTAAGGAACTGCTGTAGTAGTGAACAGCTGGAGAGACAGCAGTTATGGACAAGGAGGTATTCAAATGACTGAGTTCAAAGCTCTCCATTTGGGAATGTGACAGAAATGAGGAGTAAGTCAGCCAAGCCAAGAAAACTCCTTCTCTTTTGTGTCTAAAGTAAACGTGATGTTTTTAAGTCTTAATTATTGTTTTCAATTCTTTTTTTTAATATTCTGAATTAAGAATTTTTTGATGACCTTTTCCTATCAAATTATTAGCTGAACCCAAGCATGTATTCATATATAAAAAAACCTATTTAAACTACATAATTACTTTAGGTTTCTGAGTATGCCAAAAGCCAAGATGTTCACATCTGAGGGCCAGATTCTGCTTTCAGAACTGACTCTGGGGATGAATCTCATTCCAGACTTTACCTCCCTATTTTGAACGACACTGTCCTTCCATTATTTGGATTTCTGCCTCTTCCCTCTGCTTGAAGCATGTTTAAAACAGAGTCAGATCCTTGCTATAAAAAATGCCATGGCACTCTTCCACTAGGTGTTAAATCTGACATTTTAACCATAACTTTCGATTTCCTCATTTGCTTCAGTTATGACATCTTTTCTACTTACACACTTCAATACATTTTAATTCTTTACTCTTATTTCATTATTATGGATTTTTTAGCAATTGTTTCATGGCAAATGTATGGTTTTTTTCACTCTCTTAGGTAAATATTAAGTAAGCAAATGATTACGCCTTTGGAGTTCATCTGGTCTATCCAGGAAATAATGCAAATATTATTTTTTTTAAAAACCATGTAACTGAAAATGTTAAAGTTGAAAATGTACAAGTACTCCTACCTATACTGTAAATAGGAATGACCTTGTTGAAGTGGCTTGGCTCCATTAAGCAGCATTAAAAATAATATTCTTTTAAAAACCCTGATTCCTACATTGCTTGCTTAATGAAACATCATGGCTCTTTGGGTGAAACCATTTGCTTGTCATTATTTTTCCTCCCTTTGTTTAAACGTGGCTATTAAGAAACGGAGCAAACAAGGAAATCTGCATACAACCCCTGCATTTAAGTAACATCAAGTCCCTTTCCCAAATGTTGGGAAATTCAGCTTAGAGCAAGTGCTCTGTTTTCAAGTCTCAGGGTCATTTTGTGAGATGCACTGCAGATGCACTGCATCTTTTCAGAGACGCACACTGACCCAAGAACTTGGGCTCCAAACTTCAAGGCAGGACAACCTGTTGCACAGCATGGTCTCTGCTCCAAGGTTTTGGAATGGCCCGTTTCACCGATGGGGACCATTTTTAACATTCAAATCCAGATCCCCCACCCCCAGTTCCCTGGAGGTTCAGATCCTGGATTTTGGTGCAAGGCCACTGCTTCTGTTTCTGCATGGATGTGCACAAGCACACGTGCGCACACACCGGTTCTGTATGTGCAACCAGGTATCACAGTTACAAATACCTCAGATGCAGTTAAGAAAGGCCTATTGAAAATTCAGCTCAAAATTTGCCTGGAGCCGTGTTGTTCTTACCTCTGACTTTCCTAGCTTTTCCTGGGTTTGTGCCACAACTTGGCATCACCAAAACTGAGTTTCTGTGTCAACAAACATACGGAGATTATAGAGAGAGAGAAACAGAAGTAACACAGATGCTGCAGACATGCCAAACAGCAGTGACACAGAGGTTGCCGTAACATTTTTCATTAAACATCCTCATTGGAGGACACTTATTAGCAAAAATTCAAACATTCTCGTCAAAAACGTGTTGTTTCTCAGCCACTAACTTGAGAAACTAAGAAACCGTTGCATTGCTGACTCACCAGCAACTGCATATACAACGGAGGTGGGGGAAGGAAGGGAGCAGGAAGCTGCTGGGAGCAGTCGAGTGTAATTTGGGATGAGAAAAAGGATTTAAGGGGTTAGGCAACCAAAAGCATCCATTAGGGGCGATTTCTGGTTTCACTCACACCAGCAAAAAACTGGTGTCGCTCCACTAAATCCATGGAGCTCTTGTGGGTGAACACTGGAGTCGTTTGTAAGGATCGACAAGAGGTGGCCTTCTGCAGAGCTAAATCTGGATGGCTGTCCTGACTTTCCACGTGGCTTCACCAGTAACTCTATATTTTGAAACCTATCCAGAAAAAAACCAATTATTCCCATGCATTGGTGGGATACATTGTACACCACAGGTATCTAAAAATGCATTCTTTTCTGAACATCATAGGTAGTTAAAAAAAAAAAACCCTCTGCTTTCTCATAGCCCCTGATTGAGAAGAGCACTTTGAGCCAAGGGTGTATCTCAATTTGCTCCATCGTCACAGGCTACAAAGACAATAGTGAAGGAGTCCATCATACCCATTCTGAATGCAACCAAGTTGGCCAGATTTCCTAATGCCTGAAACCCGTGATGTGTGACAGTAGGGACAGTATGGTTATTGCCAGGACTGGCAGTGGTATCCTCCAGGTGTATAGGGCCGAGTGTGTCAAAATCCCCCTCCCCCAAGCAGCAAACTACATCAACGCAGACCTGAGAAATGGGGAGGAGGTGCTGGGTCTGCCAAGGTCCTTCCCCTGGACCCAAGGATCTGGACCCAAGGATGCACTGACCTCCTTAGAAAAGAAATGCTTTCCCCTTCACTTCTCTACCTGCCTATGCTGGAGCTAACTGGTTGAGAAGACTGTACAGATCCTTTCCGACGCCACATGCTTAAGCATCAATGCAACTCTTTCATTTTCCATCCTGGAGCCCCAAAAAGCCACCTCTCCTGGCAGAGACTTCCTTCCCTGCATGAGATCCCTTGCAACTGAGTTCCTGTGAAGGAGATTCATGCTTCCCTACAGGCAGTTGATGCCTTCCAGGGGGTGCGTAGCTCCTCAGGGGCCCATGACCTGGGGGTCATTAAGGCCAAAGCTGCCATTTTCCCTCCTTTGCTCCTAATTAGCTTTTAGTGGAGGTGACAAAATAAGAGACAACTCCACGATTTTTCCCATTGACACCAGCAGTTTAACATTTGGCCTCATCAAGCTGAGGTTTTGTACTTAGCCCAGGTACGGCAAGGCCCAACAGAAAGGGACTCATGCCACCTCTTTAAATACTAAGAAAACTGACCACTCGTATGGAAAGACAGGGGTTAGAAACGGGGACTGACTGAGACAGCCCAGACTGCATTTTATCCTCCTTCCCCAAACATGCACATTAATGATGTCTAATAACATGGGAAGATTCAGAGGCGAGATAATGACCACTGTGTAGCAGCCCTGGAGATGGCTCCTGAAATGCCCACGTCAGTCCTCTTGGATAAAGTCTGCACATCTCTGCTAGTAAAGGATCACTTTGTGACTTTATTTTGGTCCCGAAAAAAAACTGACCTCATCACCTTCCCCATAGCTTCATGATCCCAGGATCTGTACTGGGCTTTTATGAGAGAGAAGATCTTTTTTTTTTTCCTTTAAGAGAGGGTACTCTCACTGGCAGCACTTGTGGCTAAATTACAGACCGGAGGCTTATAAAAGGCCAGAAGAAACACCTCTTTGCACAGCACAGGGGTCACAATGAAAACGGTGGAGAAGTCCTAAGGACATCTGCGTGATTTGGGATGGGGTAGCAAAGGAAGAATGGGACCACGGGAGGAAAGGAGAGGGCGTGCAAAAGCATTGAGGCACAATGCAAACTGTGTAAAGAAATGGGCAACACCTGGAGTGGCAAGACCCAACCGCTGATGGAGCGCTTGGGACTTTTCTTGCAAAAATGGAGCGACCGCTACTTTTTGTAATGGAAGGCCCCTCTCCCGTCAGCGATTCACCGCGAGGCTGTAATTCTGTCGTGGGCGCTTGTTCAGCAAAACTGCAAGCTTAGGAGAGCAACTTCAAGTTACTGCAAGTTACTGAATTACAACCTCCCATCCTGTCCCCTTTGGAAAGGATGTTATTAAATATAATACACGGCTTGACATTGGAGAATTCCTCCTTTCTGATGGTCTTTCTTGTCTTTCCTTGGTGTCCCAAATCACTCTTCCTCCCCGGTGTTTCCTCCTTATGCCCGAAACATGTATTTTGAATCGTCCAACATCCTCCTACCCTAAACTGCTTGACCAACTGGTTCAAAACAGTACCCGACGCTATTCTACCTTGCACTATCTCAACTACCTCAACATAAACATGTTTCTTTTCAAGAGCCTTTTTCAAGCTTCAGTGCATTATATTGAATTACACCACATTCCCAATGGTTGATGGGGACTCGCGGTCTGGAGATCCCAAGATAACGACCCCATCAGCTGAAATCTGACTTATGAGACTGACATCATGACAGTTGCTTTCCAACTCCAAAGTATTCGCGTACGTAATCCCCTGGTGCCTCTTCGCGGTAATTACGTTATAAAAAAATATCGTCGGTCACCTGTGATTTCAAACCTCCCCGAAAAGATCCCTCCCCAGGCAATATTTGTGCCCCGTATCTTAAAGGGTTACCAAGAAATGCCGTTGCCCACCTTGCACTGTGATAAAGTTTCACCTATGTTAGAAAGAGAGTACGAAAGAAATCCAGATGCTTCAAACTCCAAATTATTCCACCCCACTGGCCTTTCTCGACCGAATGCAGGCTCAGCATGTGCCCCCAGAGTAAGCTGTAAGAAAATATCCACCAGCTAAGTTCTGGATTGGTAAAACCTTAGCTGAAAATCTCCTTGAGAAGTTCAATGTGTGGACGGTGCGGACAGGCGGCCGGCCAGCGCTCCGACTGGGCCCAGTAGACCATCACGATGCTTCACTGTCTAGGAGCCGACCAGCCCATGTCACTGAAAGGTCCCTCACCCGTGGCTGACCTGGGGGGAGGCCCGCAAGGTGTACAGAGGTCAGAATCGGTGTCTGACTCCCCTTCGGCGATGTAGGGTCTGATTTTGGCACAGGGGGCCACTGATGCATAGCAACCGTTGTTCAGGACGTCCAAGTTTTCTTTCGACTGGGAAATGCTAAAGCCACTGAAGGAGCGCTCCAGTTCCTCGTGATCAACCGACGGGATGGAAATAGAGGTGTCGCTGTCTCTCATGGCGCTCTCGTGATGTTTCGTGGTAATGTCTTCGTTCCTCAGGTACTCCGCACTGGCCCGGTGGCCGCCACCGTATGCTGACAAGGAGCGCTCATGCGACGGCGGGGGTGGGATTCGTACCAAAGAGCCCGGATCTCCGACCGGGGAGGACCCGTGGCTCTGTCGCTGATAAGGCTGGTGCTGCCACGATGTCGATGGTGGACACGTGTTGGCTGGCATCGTCGGAGCTGGCGGGGCGGAGAAGTTCTTCTGTCCCATGGAGCTGGTGGACCGGATGATCTTGATGATGCAGCCATTTTTGTCGATGTGCTCCCTGCTTTCTTCTGGACTGTGGTAGGGGGGCGCTGGGTCTGGTTCTTTGGACCCAAAATAGGCTTCTGTTTCCGTCGGCGGGATACCCATCCGCTGCATATAAATATTCACCAGGAAGTCCAACTTCTTCTCCATTGACTGAACCTGAAAAATGAAACAAAAGTCTCAGTACTGCAAGCTGTGTAGGGATTGGGGCAGACCAATCCTCTGGATACAAAAGCACCTGCCCCCAACCCCAGCTCAAATGCAGCTCTGAATTTCAAAGGCACCAATGGGCAGCGTCAAAAGTCCTTGGACTTGGAGGGGTCTGGGATCAAAATCCAGTGTGAATTTGAGGAAGGCACTCTCTGCTTTTACACAGGCTATTGTTACTATTTTTTTAATACTTCCAACATCCTTTCACACATCCAGTTGTCACTACAGCAAGTTGTTTTTAATGCCTGGTGCTTTTGTTAAGTAATATCTGCAAAGCCCACCTGATTGCAAAAGGAGCAGAGACTCCTCCAGCCCTTCCAGCTGGGCTCCTCTTGGTTTGATCAACCCTTAGATGGAAAATGGTACCCGGGGCTTTGTACATGGCTATAAATTGATTTTGAATGTGGGTCCCATAGCAACAAGAAAACCTGCCCACACTCTCTCATGAAATCTGTTTAGTGTAGAAGGGTGACATTGTCAAGGGCATCCAAGTGATTTAGGCACTTAGCTGTACAAGTGTCATTGACATTTTTTCTTGGCTTTTGGTTACTGCCATGCATCTAAGTTACTTTTCAAAATGGAATTTTTTCTCCTAAATGACTTCTTTTTATTTCCAATTTTTTAAAATCATTTATATGCCTCAGAAAACATTATATGCAATCTTTTTTTATATATAACCTTAAGGAAGATATTTCCTAGGATGACCCGTGTTCTACCGTCGAACCTGACCCATACCTGCTTTTCGACTTTTCCAAGTCTGCCCATCATGCTAGGGTCTTCCGGAAGCTCCCCTTCTGCTGGCCCTTTGGTTCGATCCTTGTCTGTCATTGATGGCCCTCGTCCAACAATCTGGTCAACTCTACCAGGAACAGAAACATCCCCCCCGGAAAAGACTCTTGAATTAGTCAGATACATCAGGGAGACAAAACTGTTGCCTTCTCACTCCCTAGGGATACGGCAGTAGCCTCTCTCCCAACTTCCAATTACTCAGGAATAGAGAGTTTTGGCTAAGTGTTTTATCTTAGATGCAAACACATATCTATATTTTCACATTGGTATTGGCAGAGTTTAAAGTCTATCAGTTCTGTTTACAAGGAGATTATCTGGCACATTATGCACAGCAAATTTGCCCTTTGGGAAAAACTGCATTCTCAGACAAGTTTCCTCCAATCAAATCACTATCTTATTCTTACTAATTACATAAACAGCAATTTTTTTTTTTTGTGGTGTGTGGATAATCTTTACAGCTGACTGGATCTCCTTTTAATGGTCTTTCATTATAATATGCTTTTCTCTTCAGCACTAATGAAAGTGCGTAGTTTTCCGAATTAAAACAAGCAGAGAAAAAGTCTCCACTTAAGTGGAAGTGTAATGGATATAGGTCCATTACCTTCAGGTAGAGGTGCACTGGGGATGAATTTGGCCACAGCAAACAAAACGCTATCAGAAGCATTGCTTCCGCTCTGCATAATCCTTGTCAGGGCTGCTAACACTTGCACACTTGCAACATTTGTGCGACTGTTGTCTACACAACAGGGAGCCATTTAAATGCAAGGTCAGGGCAAGCCTATTGGACAAGCTGCCCCGTCTCCTGGGTGCTTTGTTCTGTTTCGGCTACTTGCATTACATTAGGCATTCCTATTTTGCAGTCTAGGAATTTAAGTCTCCATGTGCAGTGCAAAGTTAGGGAGGAGATCTGGGGAGGCCAGACAGGAGATCAGAAGCAAAGAATATTTGAGGTCACAAATTGAGATGCTTTATATAGATAATTAAACATGGGAACCTTGAGATCTCATGCTGGCCAACAGGGCAAGTCCAACTTTGGCTATGATTAAGACTCGATCTCAATGTACAGCCATCTGCTTCGCAGTGCCCTGGCAAACTTTACCCTTGAATAATGTGCCAGAAATATGGGTGATAAAAATAGATTCGTCCATCTGGTTAAAACCAAGTTAGTTGTCTTGAGCGGAACTAAAAATGCTTCTTATGCAGTTCTGCAGTGTGGGCAATGGATCCATGCACCAGGATGAGAAAAGGAGGAGCTGAATGTGGACAGACAAAGGAAAGGAATGAACAAACAAAACCCAGGAAAGGGATGGGACAGAAAGCCATTTCCAACAATACAGCAGTTTCTTTTGCTTGACTTCTAGGGGGTCTTAATGCAGTATATATTGTATTTTAAATACTGGGCCACATTGTCAGTTGGTGGGGACTAATCTAGACTTTAAATACATTAAAGTGACACAGATGCATACCAGCTGCAGATCTGGCTCAAAGAAATGGGGCAGTTTAACATAGCTAAGGTAACACACAAACACACCCACACACACATATGTGTATGTGTGTGTATCTGTGTGTGTGTATACAGAGATATCTCTATATATCCATTTCTATGTAGATATAGGTATAGATTATCTATCTATCAATCTATCTAGATATAGATATATAAAGATATATAAATACATATACGTGTGTGTGTGTTGGTCCTGGGTATGACCGTAAAGGGCCCAGTGGCAATGTGCCGGGGCTACTTATGGTGGGGATAGCTCATAAAATCCCAGTGTTGCAACCTCCAGTGTAAGGTGAGGATAGGGCACCCCCAAACCCTAACCCCCACCACCTTGTGGGTACTCCTTGGTTGGAGAAAGGCTAAGGGACATCATGCTGACAGAAACGTGCCCTCACCGGGGCATTAGGCAGTCGGCAGCAGTTCTCATCTGTTGATCTCTGGAAGAAACTGCAACCATCGAGGCACTGCATGTCGGTCTGGTGTTTGGATCCTGTCTCTGTGGTCTAAAAGGGGATGGTAGGTCTTGGGCAGCTTCCACTCCTCCATACTCTTGCCTAGGCGTACGCATCGAAGGTCTTGGTATGGTGGTCACAGATCTCCATACAAGCGGATTCATCAGGCACCTGCCTAGACCTCTTACATGTGCACCATGATCCAGAGGATCAACAGTTGCCTACTATACTGTATGTATGTGTGTGTGTACACACACACACACAATACTAAGCCACCATTTTTTAGGTGTCATTCTTGATCCAGGTAAGTCGACTCTGTTTATTAGCAGGGTAATGGCTGATTGCTTGCTTGCATGGTAAGTACAGCAGTAGGATGAGTACCATGTGATATATTACAAGTGTGAGTAAGATTCATGCCTTATCTTCTCCTCATAGTACAAAGTGCATGTGATTTGCATGCACAGGGCCCACCAAGAGGAGCATAAGTTATCACCATGGTATGCATCAGGTACAATCCTATAAGAATAACGGTATCATGTAAGCCACGAGGCATTTAATTAGATCACTGGGGCCACCTGGACTTGGGGTCAGAGGCTATGATGTGGATAAAAACACTGTATAATCTTGTTTCCAACATGCACAAGCATCTAGACTAGTAAAATAGGACGCCCCATTTAAAGAGGCAAAAGTGTCTGATTTCTTCTGATTACTGGGGGAGAGGCCAAGGAAATAAGTGGCCCTCTTGTCCCGGTGAAGTGCTCGGCTGCAGCGATTCCCCTGGGAGAGCTTTCTTATTTTGCAGGATAAGGAAATGGAAATGTCCTCTGACAAAAACTGCAGGGTAAAAAAACAAAACAAAAAATTTTGAAATATGGGGGAATTAATGCAGTTGCCCAGGGGCACATGCAAACCCTGTCAGCAACCCTGATCCAAAGCTCACAGAAGTCAATGAAGGACTCTCATGTAGATCCTGTCAAGAGGGCAAATGTTTATCCAGGGGCTTTAAAGTGTTTTCCATATACTTATTGAGCCCCATGCTATCCCAGTGAAGCAAATTGGGGTGAGCTTCCCAAAGCTGCTTCACAGGTGGGGTATGGGGAGGTTACTGGCCTCTCTCACAGCAGGGCTGGTTTTACGCACAGCCTCGGGTAGGAAGGAAGGCATATGGGCATGATCTACCAGGAGAGCTGGCACTCACGGGCAGGTGTGTCTTGCTCCCAACCCACCGTCTGTCCTCCTGGGAGTATTGCTGCTTGCCAGGGCAATGCAGCAGCAGCTCCAGCTGGGACAAGCTGGGACTCACTCTTACCATGCTGCAATCATCATCTTCTGCAGCGCTTGGAAGAGCCAGGGGTTGTCTTCAGGACCCAGGCTGCACTGAGTGTGGTGTGAAGGCAAACTTCTGCAGGGGAGCTCTGGGAGGCTCTGCCCTGGGTGCAGGGGTGGGGGACCCTGGGCCATGCCCTAGCAAGATGTTCATGCACTTCCTTGTGCAGTTGGCCAGCTCCACTGGTGGTGCAGATAAGAAAGTGGGGTTGAAGATCTTGCTCCATCAGGGAAGGCCTCACAAAGGGACTGGTCTCAGGGAGAAGAAAGCAGAAAGCAGGGACTTCTGTTGTGCCTGGGCCTGGAAAAGGGGAGTGCTTCAGTTGCTTTCGAGCCTTCCCATCCCCTCAAGTGCTGGTGCCATGGCAAGATGAAGCTGGTAAGGCCATGAGCTTCCTGCTGCCATTAGACCAAGAGGTGGTTTTTTTTCTCGTGAACATCCAGTTGCAGACTGATTGCTGTGCAGGTGTTTCAAATGCACCTTTGTCTACATATTCCAGTTCAACAGCCTCCTGCTATTCCAATTTCCGGCCCTTCCCAGCTATATCCTGGTAACTGTCCCATATGATTGGGACTAAGAGCTTTTCATGTGCCTAGTGATTTCTTAGCCAGAGTGCAAAGCAGAAAGGATGGGATTTCCAAAGGGACACAAGGAAACCAGGTGCCTTTCTCCAGGGAGAATGGAGGAGCTTGCTAAGGATTTATGGAAGAATAAAGCAAGCTGCGTGGTTATAGCATTGGTAGTAGCTGCTCTACACTAACCCTGCATTAAGTGCACATTGTGAGTGTCTATGTGCATGGTGGCCTATTCCACTCTTAACCTGGAATAAAGTACATCCCCTAGTTTCCTGCCTACGAGTTCTCCTATGTAGACAAGCACTGGCTTTCTAAAGCACGTATGAAGGCCTTATCCTTCAACTAAGTCCCCTTTAGTTGCAGTGTTTTACCATTTTTTCCCCCAGTGGAAAATGAGATGTGCAATTTGTCACTCTCTCAACATACACTGTGACATTGGGTCAAGGGTGCGTGGTCTCCAGGCCAGCTCTTCAAAGGAAGCATCCGACCCATGCCCCCAAATCAGTGTGCAAACTCATCGTGTTCCCTAAGGTCTTGCTACCAGCACATGAGCACTGGCATTAAGTAATGGGGTACCTCACAATCCATTTGCAGGCACCAGCTTCTGGGTGGAAGAAGTGGGGAGACCAAGAACTTTGTTTTTCTTTGTATCCCCTTTCAGGAGCCAGGCACAACTGCAGACACTGTGATCGCAGCAGTGCAGGAAAAGCTCCGTGTTGGCCCCTCCTGGGGTACTGGCCATATCACGGAGGACCGGCAGGGCTGACCAGATGCTCAAGAGAGAACACGTTGGGTGGTGTGGGGTCTGCCTTCCTGCTGCATTCAGGAAGCATCAACCTCTCCAGATTTGCACAGCTCCTCCAGGACATCCCCTTGGGATGGTGGGCTTCTGTCGTCATACTATTGAGACAGTTTGTGCCTTTAAGATACTGGGTCCCAGGCCACGTGCACACACACACACACACACACACACACACACACACACTCATGTGGACTTAACATAGGCTCAAGCCTTTGAGAACCCATCCCTTGGATTTAAGAGGGCCAAAAGATGCTGTCTGACCTGCCATCCTATCCCACCTGCTACGTGCCTGGCTCTGCTGCAGTCTTACTCCGAAAAAGGGTCGTTGCTGTTCATTTTAAGCATCACCTCTTCTTCTTTCAAATGATACAGAAAAATGTCAATTCTCGCAGCAGCCACAGTGCAGTTTTCTC